GTACAGGAGAAGAAGTGAATTGAGATGGTAGAGGAGGCTGTAATCCCAGAGAAGAAAACTTTGGGAAAATGAACCCAGAGGTGATGAAGTGGCTGGTAAATTGATGAGAACACTGTGGGAAAACTAGCTATTAAGAGAGCCAGCAATTTGAAACCAAGACTTCATGGTCTTGAAATCAGTTTTCCTGGGGGAAATGTATTTGCTCTCTAGCTTTACAACTGAATTTTCAAAGCACAGATTGTCTAGAAGAGTAAATACTTTTGCTTCCTGGAAATAAGAAGTAATAAGCTGAACTTCTTTGGTAAAATCAGAAATGAATTCTGGAAATTATATACTATATAGATTTGTATGTTAATCATAAACCAAAAATATTAAGTGCAAATGTGTGAGCCCTGCAAGATGGATACCATTTAGCTGTCCTCAGCAAGGGTTTCTAGCTGGAAAGAGGAAGGCCCTTGTACAGAGAAGTAGTAAACACTTGGAATCTGATGTTGGAAAAAGACATTCCTCAGGAAACCTGGCCACAAGAGACAGACACTGTCTGCACACATTTTTCCTTGGAAAGTGTACATGTTTTTCCTTGGAGAAAGAAAATCCAAGTCAGGAAATGTCATTCTTTTGTTCTTTTGGAAATGTCATTCTTAAGTGGTAGAAATAAGAGAAAGGACTAAAAGAAGCAGAACTCCAGACTCTTGAAACCAGTGGGACCTGAGAACTCGTGTCATTTACAGAGGCCCTGAAGCATTCAGGGTAACCTGGACATGGACTAGCTTCTACAAGAAGATTACTTTACTAATTACAAACCAAAACGTGGAGTGACCAGGCCAGGTTATGGAGTCGCGAGAGTTGTACTCAGATGGACACTGAGGAGCACGTGTGGAACTAATGGTAATGTGGTTTGGACAGCTTCATTTTCTTTTGGGGACAGTGTAATTTGTTATCAGGAAGAATCCTATAATGGATGGTAACATGAGTGGTGAGAGTTTCTATACTTTTTTTTTTTAAATTTTTATTGTGATTTGGGTGGCAGTTTACAGAGAAAATTCATTTTCCATACAGCAGTGGACATATACTTTGTCTCATGAAATTGGCTGCAATTTCCCACAATGCAACAGCTCTCTTACCACTTCTCCCCATAGTTACCTCTTCCTTGTGTCCATCCCTCCATGCGCTCCTGCCCCCAGATCTGTCTCCCTGTGCATACACAGCCCTTCTCTTCTCCCATGATTAATCTCTCCAAGGAGTGTATCTACCTAATGCAAATGTTCAACTCATATGCCTATCCTTTGTTTGGCTGGAAGCCATAGGAGTGGGTTCAATTCCAGACCTGAATGGTAGCTAGGGGCCATAGTCTCAGGGCTTTCACCAGGCTCTCTCAGACCACCAAACCTGGTCCCCCCCCCCTTTTTTTTTCTTCATGATTTTGAGTTTTGTTCCACATCGTTCTCCTACTCTATCCAGGATCTCCTACATAGATCCCCCTCCAAGTGGTTGACAGTTGTAGCTGGCCACCATCTAGTTCTGGTCTCATAGTCGTATATAGGCTGAGGATCGCATGGTGTACTAGTCGCTTGGGCTAATTGTTTCCATGTGTCTTTAGTTTTCTTCATTCTTCTTTGCTCTGGATGAGGAGAGACCCATCGTTGCATCTAGATGGCTGCTTGCAAGCTTTTAGGATTCCAGTCACTACTCACCACAGTAGGATGTGGAACAATGTTTATGTATAATATGTTATGCCATTTGAGCTTGATGTCCCCTGTGACCATGGTCCTGAGCCCACAGGTCCAACTATTCACTCCCTCTGGGTAGCTGGCAGTGGCCAAGAAGTGACTACAACCTTGTCCCTTGTCACCTCTACTATATACCTAGTTTCCATACATTTTTGCAAACAGACCCAAAACTCACTGCCACCGAGTTGATTACAACTCATAGCTACCCTGTGAAAAAGAATAGAACTGCCCCATAGGGTTGCCAAGGCTAAATCTTTACAGAACCAGACTTCCTCATTTTTCCCCCACAGGAGCAGCTGGTAGGTTCAAACCACCAGACTTTATGTTAACAGCCAAATGCCTTAACCACTGCACCACCAGAGCTCCTTGCAGACAGGCAGAAGGCTTTTGTTGTTTCCCCCTCCCCGCTTAATAAATGGACCTCATTGTTACGGTGATCGTGATTTTCAACTCAACAGGGAAAATGAGACTATCTGTTGGTTTGTAAATAATTTCTTTGTTATATGTAATTAAGGTTAAATATATTTCTTCCTTCCCCATGTGGTAATTCCATCAAACATAATTAAAACTCAAAATACCATTTACACATTCACTGGTTAAGGATCATCGCTGAAAAATACTGATGGTCATAAAAAAATCCATACTTAATAACAAAAAGACAAACAATCCAGTTAAAAAATGGGCAGAAGACATGAAGAGACATTTCACCAAGGAGGATATTCCAGTGGCCAACAAACATATAAAGAAATGCTCATGATCATCAGCTATTAGAGAGATGAAAATCAAAACAACAATGAGATACCATCTTGCTCCAGCACTAGTAGCAAGGTTCAGCAAGACAGAAAATTATAAGTGCTGGCGAGGTTGTGGAGAGATTGGGACTCTCATACACTGCTGGTGGGACTGTAAAATGGTACAACCATTGTGGAAAGCAGTATGGTGATTCCTTCAAAAGTTGGAATTAGAAATACCATTTGACCCTGCCATTCCATTACTAGGTATATACCTTAAAGAAGTGAGAGCCATGACAAGAACAGATATATGCACACACATCATCGCAGCACTATTTACAATAGCCAAAAAATGGAAACAACCTAGGTGTCCATCAACTGAGGAATGGATAACCAAACTGTGGTACATACACACAATGGAATACTATGCAACGCTAAAGAATAATGTAGAATCTGCAAAACACTGCATAATGTGGATGAACTTGGAGGACATTATGCTGAGTGAAATAAGCCAATCACAAAAGGACAAATATTGTATTAGTCCATTATTATAAAAGTTAAGGAAAGGTTTATCTATAGAAGGAAATTTTCTTTGCTGGTTACCAGGGGTGGTGGTGGGGGGAGGGAACGCTGTTAGATAGATAGAGATAAGTATTCATTTGGGTGAAGAGAAGGGCAGTGTACCAAATGTGAGTGACCAATATGGCAGCATTGAGGATGAGAAAGACATAGAGAGGTACATGGGAGGTACAGACAACGAATATGAACCCTTTTACACATACAGTACTGCGTTGTCAGGGAAGGCTAACATGGGTATATGGGTGAATAGATGGGTAGACAGGCTGAACAATTAGGTATATCTATGAAATGGGGAGTGTATCCAAGCACATATATAGGGTTGGCAATGGTCCTATAAGTTTATGTGAATGATCAGAATTCCCAAGTGTATAGTAGAGCTGACAAGGGGCAAGGTTGTCGTCGTGGCTTGGTCATAGCCAGCTACCCAGAGGGACCGAGTAGTTGAACCTGTGGGCTTGGGACCATAGTCGCAGGGGACATCAAGCTCAATTGGCTTAACATACTGTACAAAACATTGTTCCACCTCTTACTTTGGCAAGTAGCGACGGGGATCTTAAAAGCTAGCAAGCTGCCATCTAGATGCAACAATGGGTCTCTCCTCGTCCAGAGCAAAGAAGAATGAAGAAAACCAAAATTCATGGAAATAGTTAGTCCTAGCGACTGGTACACCATCCGATCTGTAGCCTATATGACTTTGAGACCAAAAGAACTAGATGGTGTCTGGCTACCACTGTCATCCACTTGGAAGGGGATCTATGTAGGAGATCCTTGATAGAGAGGGAGAACAATGTGGAACAAAACTCAAAATCATTTGGAGGAAAAAAAGGGGGGGGGACCAGGTTTGCTGGTCTGATAGAGCCTGGTGGAACCACTGAGACTATGGCCCCTAGCTGCCCTTCAGGTCTGGAATTGAACCCACCCCTGTGGTTTCCAGCCAAACAGAAGACAGGCATATGAGTTTAACATTTACCTCAGGTAGATACACTCTTTGGAGAGAACAATCATGGGAGAAAGATGACTGCTTATGCACAGGGAGACAGCTCAGAGGGCAGGAGTGCATGGAGGGATGGACACAGGGAAGAGGTAACTAGGGGGAGGAAGTGGGAGGGGAGCTGTTGCATTGTGGTAAACTGTGGTCAATGTCATGAGACAAAGTATATGTGAACTGCTGTATGGAAAGTGAATTTGCTCTGTAAACCTTCACCCAAATCACAATAAAAAGAAATATATATATATATATATATATATATACTTTCTTTAATATCTGGCAGATAGGTTTATTTGTTCTGAACTGTGCAAAGATGTTATATAAGACACTGTTTAGGAAAGGACATTTGAAAGGAAATAGTAAATGATCTGGGAGTAAACCGTTTTATCAGCCATTGAATTTTTGGATGTCTGTTCCTTCATTTTCCCTTAATCTTTCGGTAAAGAAATAAGGAGTAGAAGTCTTGCAGAGGAAAAACTGTATTAACCTGTGCATTAGTTTAGGGAAACCCTGCTCCTTCTCAGTCCTCTCACTGGCCTCTACCGTGGCCTTCTGTCTTCAGCTTAGCAGTAAAACTGAGAATGAATTTCACTGAATTGAATGTTTTTCTTGGTGTAAATTTGTTCTCCCACTTGTTGGAGACTTAGAAATATGTAGGGACAAAACCTTCTGCCTCACTTAAGAAAATAGCCCAATGCTTCATTGGTCTATAAATTGGATTAATAGCCATAGTAAACAATTAATATTAGGGAAATAAGGATTAATAGTAATCTCCTTCAGGGCAAGTATTTCTGAATCAACTCAAATTTTTATTTTGTTTCTAATAAAATTATAATGTTTAACATTAATGTTCTTCTTCCTCCTAATTTGAAAGTGTCAGCTCATATTTTATCCAGCTTTCTGAAGGTATCTGTGAGAGGAATAGAAAGAGCTTGGGAAACAAGCAAATAGTTTTTGCCTTTTTCCCTGTAGGTCCCAGTAGGGATGGCACAATCAGTGAGGACACCATCCGAGCCTCTCTTATCTCTGCTGTCAGTGACAAACTGAGATGGCGGATGAAGGAGGAAATGGACCGTGCCCAGGCAGAGCTCAATGCCCTGAAGAGAACAGAGGAAGACCTGAAGAAAGGTCACCAGAAACTGGAAGAGATGGTCAGCCGTTTAGATCAAGAAGTAGTAAGTAGCTTGTTGTTGAAGAGTTGAAGTTTTCAGATTGAGTTGTAACCATAGCAAAGTATTCTATATGTACTTTGGTTTACCTGGGTGTTGTAAGTATGAGATTTCAGAAAATTATTAGTGTCTTTAAGCATTTGAATATGGCTTTCTTACTGCTTTTGTTAAAAATAGAATATATGTAATTTGTGAAATTTGATGCTTGAAAGAGAGGTGGATGATAGAGCATTTTTATTACACCTTCACCTTAAGGGAAGTTTTGGCCTGAAGGAGGACTATTTGAATGCCTAATGTTGCCAGACAGTTACCAGGATATAAGAATTTGAGAGAGCTCTGACCTGTGATAACCATCTGCAGACCTTTACACAGATTTAAGGGACAATTCTACTTTATTGTTTCCAAATGTTGCTTGAACTCTGTTACAAAGCATCATCATTGAACCCTTCTAACTTAACATCTAGACATATTTGGGTGAATTAAGAGCTACGTATAAATATAGTATATGCAAACTTTAGCTCTTTAAGCTATCTCATGTTTATTATGTCAAGCTGCTGCTACCTGGAGAGTCAGTGTGTATGTAAGTCAGCCCTGTAATTTTGTTTATTGGTGATTAAGAGGCCCTAGTGTTGATAGTTGAACAACATGATGAACATAATTATTATGTCACTGAATTGTACATGTGAAAAATACTGAAATGGCAAATGTTTTATAATTATTTTTTACCTCAATTTACAAAAAAAAAAAAAGAGAGAGAGGCATTAGCATAATTTGAAGGAGCTCTGGTGGCGTAGTGCCTAAGGCATTTGACTGCTAACCAGAAGGCTGGCGCTTCAAACCCACCAACCACTCCTTGGAAGGACGACTGGGCAATCTACTTCTGTAGAGATACCGCCTTGGAAACGGGGCGAGCTTCTACTCTCTATTTTCATCCCCATGAGGGAGAATTTATTCCAATAAATGTACTTTGGGCAAAGTGATTTGGCCTTACAGAATCGCTGTGGTGTGTAAAATGAGCTTCATAGTAGCCAGCTATTTTCAGAAGTTCAGGCAAGTGACACCAGTATAGTTCAGAGCCATAGACACCACCTGCTATATGTCTTGTGATTAGAGTACAAGTGTTTTGGGTCTCTATTCGTTGAATCTTCTTTCTAGACCAAGGAAAGTTACTCCTCTGTGGCTTACTCACACTGGTTTGGTAGAAAGACCTTTTCTATCATTTTCTATGTAGGGAACCTCTTGCTGGAAAGTATCTTGTTTGATGGCTTAGTTTGCAAGCTCATTTGTCACTGCTTACTTGGGATATTTCAACATTACCCAGTTTTCACTCACTATATTAGATCACAGGAACTCTGGTAGCGTAGTGCCTATGCCACTTGACTGCTAACCAGAAGGCTGGCAGTTCAAATCCACGAGCCACTCCTCAGAAGGAAGATGGGGCAATCTACTTCTGTAGTGATACTGCCACGGAAACCCAAGGAGGGGTCGCTATGAGACGGGTCCAACTCGACGGCACGTAACAGCAACAACAACATTAGATCACAAGGAGCTCTGGTGGTATAGTGCCTAAGGCATTTGTGTGCTAACCAGAAGGTTGGAGGTTCAAACCCACCAGCCACTCCATGGAAGGAAGATTGGGCAATCTACTTCTGTAAAGATTCACCACCTCAGAAACCCAAAGGGGGTAGCTATGAGTTGAAATCGTCAATGGCAGTGATTTTGGTTTTTTGTATCTTAGATCACACCTTTTCCTTTTTGATCAATGTGTTATTGGGAACATTGATCTCATCCATGACTTGTGTGAATACAGCTTTATTAGCAAGTCTGTTTCTGTGAAATTGAGTTATAAATGGCTGCAAATGGATAATTATGTACAGTTAGTATAAAATCATCATGTTTGGACTATTTTGTTTTCAGGCTGAGGTTGATAAAAACATAGAACTTTTGAAAAAGAAAGACGAAGAACTCAGTTCTGCTCTGGAGAAAATGGAAAATCAATCTGAAAACAATGATATTGATGAAGTTATCATTCCCACAGCCCCACTCTACAAACAGATCCTAAATTTGTATGCAGAGGAAAATGCTATTGAAGACACTATCTTTTACCTGGGAGAAGCCTTGCGGCGGGGAGTAATAGACCTGGATGTTTTCCTGAAGGTATGTCTTCTGTTTTCCAGGATTTTAGAACTTGTGCCTTAAGAGGTGCTGGCCTTGAAAACCACAGGTGTGGAGGGTTGCTCTATAGGGTAGGATGAGACTCTGTCTTCCCAAAAGAGAGTGAGATGGGGCTGTGAGGCTACAGCTATAGCTGTCTAGTGGGTCATGAAGAACATGGGTTTAAGAATAACAGCTTTGGGCTATCTAACCCAACTTCTCTTCATGCCTCAGTGTACATGCTAGGCTGATCAGGTCACTTGCTCATATTCCTATTTCACTGTGAGTGAGTGGCCAAACCACATGCCTTGGACCTGGCACAAGCACCGATAACTGGGTATAAACCAGAGCCTTGGGAGAACTTCCCTTAAAGTACACTGTCCCTTCTTTGGGCGGCACAGCTTAGGATGCACATGAAGATGGAAGAGAGGACAGGAATTGTCCCTTTGTCATTTGCAGCCACCAGACTAGGGACAGACGTCCCTTTACTGCTCATCATTACCTTTCCCCTTCTTTTAGCCAAATGAGATAAATAGTCATGATTATCAAAGGTTTTTTTTTTTTGTAACTTTTGTTACAGTCACAGTACAGGTTTGCATCTTGGTTATCACAAGGTACAGCTAAAATTCCTGAGCCAGATCCTACACTGTAGTGGTTTCTCTATAAGTAAGCCTTTAGCAGGTCTCAGAAGACTACTTGCTTTAATACAATCTGCCAGCATCGATCTGGTAGAATTAAAGATGCCACATTTAATGTGATATTGGTTCCAAAGGAAAGTTGATAAAACTAGTAACTTTAGGGTTCTTAAGCCATCTGAGTTAAACCTTGTCTGATACTGAATGCCTGGGCCTGGATCAAAGCCTTTCTAAACTGTTGAAATTTTTCCCCCCTCCTAGCATGTACGTCTTCTGTCCCGTAAACAGTTCCAGCTGAGGGCACTAATGCAAAAAGCAAGAAAGACTGCCGGTCTCAGTGACCTCTACTGACTTCTCTGATACCAGCTGGAGACTGAGCTCTTCTTAAAGCATTCTTTTCTTCTCTTCCTTTCTCTTATCAGTAGGTGCCCAGAATAAGTTATTGCAGTATATCATTCAAGTGTAAAATATTTTGAATCAATAATATATTTTCTGTTTTCTTTTGGTAAAGACTGGCTTTTATTAATGCACTTTCTATTCTCTGTAAACTCTTTTTGTGCTGAATGTCGGGACTGATTATGCTAAATAAAATTTGTTGCATAATTTTTCTCTTTATTGAATTCCTTTAGGAAAAATCCACAAAAATTTAGCAGTTTTTAATTTACCAAACAAAAGCATGGTATCCATTTTAAATTGAAATTTAGTATTATTTAGTCTATAGCTTATAGAAGGAGCTCTGGTGGCATAGTGCCTAAGGCATTTGACTGCTAACCAGAAGGCTGGCTGTTCAAACCCACCAGCTACTCCTCAGAAGAAAGACTGGGCAATCTACTTCCACAGAGATATCGCCTTGGAAACCCAAGGAGGGGTCAGTATGAGTTGGAACCGATTTGACGGCAGTGAGTTTGGGTTTTTTTTTTTTGTTTTTGTTTTTGTATAGCTTTTAAAGTGAATTCTGTTTATCTGGGGGTTGCTATGAGTCGGAATTTACTTGACAGCAGTGGGGGTTTTTTATACCACAAAGGTGAGAAGCCCTAGTGGCACAGTGGTTAAACACTTGGCTGCTAACTGAAAAAGGTGTTTCAAATCCTCCATGAGAGAAAGATGGGGCAATCTGCTTTTGTGAAGACTTACTGCCTTGGAAACCCTATGGAGTGGTTCTGCTCTGTCCTGCAGGGGTTGCTTTGAGTTTGGAATTGACTTGCATTAGCTTTAGTTTTGTTTGTTTGTTTGTTTTGGATACCATATAGAAAATGAATATTTGAAATATGTGAAATTGAGGGAACTGAGTGACTTTTTCTGTGAAAGTTTCTGGCGGTAACTTTCTACCACTCCCTGCCTAGATTTCTTTCTTTTCCAGGCCTAACTAAACCATAACTCGTTTCATCAAATAAAAAGGGAATCCTAGAAGCAGAGATTTTTATACCTGGGGGTTTAATGTTAACTAGGCAAGAAGGTCTGGTCACAGTTTTGAGAAGAAAATTTGGAACAAAACAGAAGGTATAGTGTACATTGCCTCCCTGCTTTTAATGTCATTTGAAATGAGTCTTTATGAGGAGTGATTCTGTAGCCAAGTTTGTGGCCACCCATAGCCACTGTATGTCCTGCAGAATGCACTAGAAGTTTCATGAGGTTACAAAGAAAGAATGTTCTGATTTGAGAGGATGTTTTCTTTTAAGTTATTAGGGAGCCAGATAGCCCACTCTATACCTCTGCCAAGAGAAGAATAACTTTGTCCCAGTCATCACTGAAAGGGGTTTATACAGTTTCAATGCTTCTTTCTTTAAAAAGTAAAATCCATATGGAAAGTGAATTTGCTCTGTAAACTTTCACCCAAATTGCTATATATATATATATCATAAAATACATTCATAAAAATTATAAGAATAAAGTTAAATCAAGGTTTATTTATTTAGTATTAGGATTAAAGTTAACATTTACAGTTATCTTTGTGTGTACATAACTTTCATTTTTACATTGTAGAGGAAGTCACAGCCTTTTTTTAATATGGTATATAAATGAGTATAAGTACAAGCCAGCTAGAACAAAAGAATTAGCATGTACTTGATAAAAAAAGAATCAGAATTTCCGTAACATGTACACAAACACATACATCTTACATGCTTTTGGACCAACTGGCAGCTACATATATTCAAGGGAAGTATTGTACATCAGAGGTACCAAAAACACCTCCTTTGTTGATGCAGTCACTTAATAATTGGGGGGGGGGGTATCATTTAGCATCTGAGAAAGCTGGAGGGCTAAATAAATAGGGGGGTCACTTTACCCTTCCTTTTTCCAACTTTTAGGAATTCATATTTATTTAAAAAATTGACATATACAATCCCATAACTACAATCTTTTTCTTTAAAAACTGCAGAGTGGTAGCATTAATCAGCATTAAAGCTTGAGCACCTTCTGAATTTCCCAAAGTGTTTCTGCACTCTTCTTTAAACAGGCCTCCTCTTCAGGGGTCAGATTTACTTTTATAATGTCTGTAATGCCATTCTCTCCCAGGATACAAGGAACACTTAGAAATACTTCCTCCTTTATTCCATAGAGGTCCTGAAAAGAAAAATTAAAATTTATTTTATTATATCTAACAAAAGTCTGCAATATGAGACATAGAAGTTGCTGGGTAAATGACTGTTTAACACATGGTGTAGTGCCTAAGGTATCTGACTGCTAACCAGAAGGTTGGTGGTTCAAACCCACCAGCCACTCCATGGAAAGAAGTCTGGGCAGTCTACTTCTGTAAAGATTTACTGCCTCGGAAACCCAAAGGGGGTCACTGTGAGTCGGAATCAACTCTATGTCAGTGAGTTGGGTTTTTTTTTATAGTGGCGGGGAAATAGAGCACCACAGCAGAGAATAATTTCAAACAGATAATTAGACATAGTATTCCAATTCTTTAGCCATCTGTCCACTTAGGACCCTGTCTCTTGCCATGTTTGCTGGGGCCCTATCTCCTTGCCCCAAAACCACTTTCTTATCAGGACCACGTCATAATTTCTATTACTTTTTTATTCCCATTGATTTAATTCCATCTGGTTTTAACATCTCTTATTTAGACTAGTAGAGAGAGCTTACCTATATGTCAGTCTCTCCCTGGGGACTAACTTTGACTACTTTTATAACTAATGCTTCCACATAATTGGATGTGTTTTAAATAAAAAAAAAAATTGTCAAGTCAGTCCCAGCTCATAGCAGCCCCTCCTTAAGTTTCTGAGGCAGTACCTCTACAGAAGTAGATCGGCCAGTCTTCCTTCTGACGAGTGCCTGGTGGGTTTGAACTGCCAGGCTTCTGATTAGCAGTCAAATGCCTTAGGCACTACACCACCAGAGCTCCTCATTGGATGTTTCAGAAAACTCAAAATGTGGAAAAACTAATAGCAACAGTGGTTCCCCAACGCACTAGATATATGTAGTTAGTTCACTCACTGAACTCACAAAGGTGCAAGAAGACTTACCTATACTGTATTGAATGTAATAAGAAATGTTATTCGAGGGCACAACAAAGGTCTACAGAGAATCTCTCAGCAGCAACAAAGGACAGCCTTTAGGAAGAAAGGTGCTTCCAGAAGATCCGCCTCAAAATAAAGTTGCTCAAATGTTTTTACTCTTACTTTATATTAAAGTTAAATAATGACTTTTCAGACATGAAAATCTACCTTAATTATGGTGGAAACTGGATGCACTCTCCTAAGATTCTTCAAAATGCTTTCCGTTAAATCAGCTACAGAAAAGCCAATGGCCCAAGAAGTATAACCTTTTCTTTTAATAATCTCATAGGCACTGTGGAGTTAGAAATCACGAACATAAGTTAGTTTAGAAGAAATACTTACCTTTGAACATCCATTTTATGGCAGCTTATCTGACAGTGCCACAAAACTAAAATGTTTCCATCAATATTTTTTCCTAGAAACTTCTTAAAGACATTGGTTAAGATAAACATCATTTATGAGGTTATATATAAAGATCTAGAAAGTAGTATGAAATGAGTCCCATTACTATAAGTAAAGATATATTCTGTCAGTCAAAAATTAAGTGCTTTCTGTGTGCTAGAGCCTGGGTAAGGCTCAGCAGTGACCAAAACAGATCCCAGTTGCTGACTGTGTAAGAATTTATATTCAGGTGAATAAACAATCACATAATTGCACAAAAAATAAAAGCTGAAGTGCTAATGACAGAAAAGTATGAGAACTTTGTAACAACACTTGTGGGGCCTAAATCCATCTGGCAGATTTCAGGCTCACAGCTAACTTCCAAGGTCCTGAAAGTGTGGAACTGTCATGTTACCTGGCAATCACTTCTTTATGAACATTTTTCCACTCTTCACGATCTGTATTGGGTCCTACATCTGAGTTCAGATTCTTCAGACAGACACCAGCAACGTTCACTCCACTCCACACAGCAACTAAGAGAAAAACAGCAAAGATTCATCACATTGTACTACATAATGGGTTTGGGTTTGTTGTTGTTGTTGCTTTGATTTTTTATAGTTTTACCTTAGTAAAACTGTTCTTCTAGCTTTGAATGATTTTCAACTAACAAAAACCAAACTCACTGCCATCAAATCAATTCCGACTCACAGCAACCCATCCGGTTTCTGAGGCAGTGCCTCTACGGAAGTAGATTGCCCAGTCTTACTTCCAAGGAGAAACTGGTGGGGTTAAACTGCCAGCCTTCTGGTTAGCAGTCACATGCCTTACACACTAGGAGTATTCAGTGTTGTTACTGTTGCTGTGTGCTGTCAAGTTAATTTTGACTCACAGCAACCATATAGGATGAAGTAGAACTGACCCAAAAGGTTTCCAAAGTTGCCACATCTTCTGCAGAGCAGCCGATGGGTTTGAACTGCAGACTTTTTGGTTAGCAGTTGAACACTTAACCACTGTGCCACCAGGGCTCCTGAGTATTCAACAGAGCCATCAAAACTGAGATATCTGAGCCCCAACTCAGATCTGCTAAATGAAAATCTCTAGGAGAGGTGCCCCGAATTCTGTCAATTTTGCACAGATTTTCCAGACAAAATGGCATTTAAATTTTCAATTATAAGTAAATTTTTAGTCCTTTTCCATAGCCAGGGTTTTATATTAGGATTTCAAAGATAATTAAGAAGAAATAACTAAGAAAAAGGGCTGCTATCACTACAGCACCCTCTCTTTGTCCCCTTAATTCTCTCTAATTACGCCTGTCCCTTAATCTGAAGAATTCATGTTACTTGAATTACAATGGTGACCTTTCCAAATTAGAGAGTCCCAAGTTAAATATAAACCACATCATGTTAGTTAATCCTTATTTGTTATAAAACAGACTTGTAATCCCAACCATCCTCACATAGGATGACACTAACATTTTCATTTTTTGAAAGTATTTTTGGTGGATTATTTTATTATTTAAAAATGTGCTAAAAATTAATAAAAGTCCTTTCTGCCCACCTGGACTGTTTTACTTTATGACTCAATCTATATGGTAAATGTAGTAAAAGTGTATGTCAGAGAGTGCACAGGGCTCAATGGTGCTTTAGGCTTACCACTTGAGTCTCCATGCTCTCCAAGGATCCACCCATGACAGCTTTCAGAGTGGATACCAAGTCTTTGCCCAATTAAGAAACGGAAACGGGCAGTGTCCAGATTACAGCCACTTCCAATAACACGATTTTTGGGAAAGTCACTCAACTTCCAGGCGACATAAGTTAATATATCCACTGAGCAGAAAAAAAATGCAAGTCAGAACATTTCACGTCTCATCTAAAAAGTGATACATTTTTTAAAATTTATGTAAATTAAAACTGGTGTATCTGATGTTTGATGGGGAAACCCAGTGGTTCTATATTCAACTCCAGCTGTATAGCACAACTCTAATATCTTACTAATAGAATAAATTACAAAAAAAAGTATATATCTATGTATAGAAATTTATAACATTTTAAATGAGAGAATTAATGAAGGCCTAATAAAATAATTTATATTGTGCTCCAGAATTTAAAAATTCAATATTGTAAAGTGATGCGTTCTCTTCCATTGATCTATAGACTGTGTGAAATCCCAATCAAACTGTCCAGAAGGATTTTTTTTTTCTTTTTTTTAATGAAAACTGACAGGAAAAAACAAACTGTTGACAGATACCACACTTGAATAGATTTCAAGGGCTCACTCCATGAAAAAAGCCAACTCAAAAGGCTACATCTTCAAGTGGCATAATTATACTAATAAAGAATACAGAATTCTGGTAAGATGGCAGAATAGGCAGACAGACTACACAGACCCTCTTCAACAAAGAGGAGGAAGCAATAAACATAGGTACAGAAGATAATCCTGGAGCCCTGGGTTTGAAAGGAAGGATACAGAAGTGGACTAAACTCCCAACTAGTAGAAGAACCTGCATGAAAACACCAAAAAAGGAAACATATGGAGCTGTGGCCTGTCAGTGATCCTGACGACACGGACAGCTTGGATATTGCCAGGTGGCGTTAGGACCAAAGATATTAATGTAAAAATCATCCCTGATAGCCATGGGCTGCATAGAGGACTTCACTGGTAGCTGGTAAATAAAAGGGAAAACAGTGAAGAGGGAGACAGGCTGAGCTGTGGACTTTTGGCTGTTCCAGGGGTGCATCCATTTTGAATGTTTACAACAAGTTCAACCATTTTGGGTATTTAAATCCACAGCGATCTCTCAGTTGAGTTGGGTCCAACTCATATCAACCCCTCGTTGGGTTTCCAAGGTGGTACCACTATGGAAGTAGATTGCTCAACCTTCCTTCCAAGGAGTGGGTGGTGACTTTGAACCATCAGCCTTCTGGTTAGCAGTCAAATGCCTTAGGCACTGAGCTACCAAAGCTCCTGAAAAATAGGCTCCACTTGCCGGGACCACAAGAACATTCTGGACCCAAAGGACTGGAAAGGTGTGACATTCCCCTTGTTATTCTTACACCCCACACCCTCTTGGTGCATGCAGGTGCTGCTGTCCCTCACTCCCACCTACCTTCTGGGACAGCAGGAATTCCATCCCAATCTGTGCTGTGACAGAGCCTGGGTGCCCTTCTCCACCTTACCCAGATTTATTTCTTTTCAGTTTGTTTTTGTCTGTTTTTAAATTATTATTATTATTGTTACTGTTTTCCCATCATTTTTATGGTTATTCTTTCCTTCCCAGATTCTAGTTTTCAAGTTTTTCTCTCTTGCCTGTTTCTGGCTCCCATTTTTTTTGTTTCTCGTGGTTAACCCCATTCCTTGTTTTTCTTTTTGCATTTTTTCCTTTTTTTTTTTTTTCTTCATTCATATACTCTACCTCTTTTCTCTTTGGGCCCCCTGCCCAGATATTGCAGGGTTTTTTTTTTTTTTTTTTTTTTCTTTTCTTTTTTTGGTGAATGTTCCTGTGTGTTTATCCAGTGTGTTTCTTGTCCACTTGCTTTTTACACTTTTTTTGAGGTTTTTTCGATTGTTGTTTTTGTCTTAGTGGAAGACTGCAACCATGCCCTTACGATATAGCCACACTCGCAGCTTTACTTATTGAGTGAGAGCCACCACTTCTACACAAACTGGCTGATGATAAACGACCACCAAGAAGAGCCTGGCTCACCCATAACTGCTCTTCACAAGCAGTTAACAGATCTAAATACAGCAATATCATAATGTCTCAGAGACAACAGATCATTACAGACCACGCAAAGAAGCAAGATAAATTGGTAGAAACAAGGGAACAGGATACAAATCCAGAACACATCCCTGAAGAAGCAGCAGCATTGGAACTCCCTGATAAGGAATTCAAAAGAATTATACTTAGGTATCTTTGAAGGATTGAGAGAGAGATCAAGGAAAACAAAGACAAAACCCTAGAACCATTTTGGAAGAAAATACAAGAACAAAATAAATGAAAAATTAGAAATGATACAAAATCTACACATAGACATGCAGAAGATTAATAGTAAATTTTCAGAAATAGATAATACATTGAAAGGGGAAAGGAGTAGAATCAAATCAATGGAAGACAGAATTAGTGGGATTGAAGACAAATGCCTGAATACTTCTTTGGAAAGGGATCAGTCAGAAAAAAGATCAAAACAAAATGAAGAAAGCCTAAGGTTCATATAGGATACAATCAAAAGGAATAACCTATGTGCAATCAGAATTCAAGAAGAGGAAGAGAAAAAGAAAACCAACTGAGAAAATTGTCCAAGATTTGTTGGAAAAGAACTACTCTGATATGATGAAACATGAGAATATATCCATTCAGTAAGTCCAACAAATCCCAAACAGGATAGACCCCAAAAGAAAATCACCAAGACATATCATCATTAAACTCATTAAAACAAAAGACTAAGAAAGAATACTGGAAGCAGCACAGGAAAAATGAAAAGTTACCTACAAAGGACAACCAAAGAGAATAAGCTCTGATTTCTCAGTAGAAGCCATGCAAGCAAGAAGGCAATGGGATGGTATATATAAAACCCTGAAAGAGAAAAATTTCCAAGCAAGAATTATATACCTAGCAAAACTGTCCCTCAAATATGATCATGAAAATCAGGAGATTTCCTGATAAGCAGAAATTAAGTAAATTTTTTTAAGACCACACCAACCTTACAAGAGAAACTAAAGGGAGTCCTTTGAACAGAGAACCAATCATTGTAAACAACAACTGACCCTTAATACACATCACATAACAACACGGCTGTGGAAATATCCAAAGTAAAATAAGCCTACAAGATTGTAAACAGGGAACTAGAGACATCAGTTGGCAAATGAGGACAACTACAGACCAAAAACAGGGAAAAAGTAGTATAGTTACAGAACTTCTAAATGGTGAGGAAGTCAAGAGAATTGCAAGATAGAATGGATTGTTGTAAACTTGGGGAGAACATTATAAATCACAGGATAACCTCAAAGAAAAATAATAAACCTTCACATCACAATAAAAAAAAAAAAGAGGACAAGCACAAATGTTTACCAAATACTAAAACAACAGCAATGAAGGAAATGATAACATGATACTTAAACATAATGAACTCAGCACAAACAATTATATGGAACATAGAAACCAGGAACACCGCAAAAAAACACATAACAAAATGACAACAACCAATTCATACTTGTCAAAAATTACACTGAATGTCCAAGGATGAAATGCACCATTCAAGAGACAGAGAGTTGCAGACTGGATAAGAAAATATAACCCATCAATATGGTGTCTAAAAGAGATGAAAATTAGAGACAAAGACAAAAATAGAATAAAAATCAAACATCTATCAAGCAGATGGCAACCAAAAAAGAGTGGCAGTATTAATTTCTGATGAAATTGACTTTTAAGACAAAAACCACCATATGAGACAAGGAAGGACATTATATAATGATTAAAAGATCAATTGAACAAGAAGATATAACTATAATAAATATGATCCCAATGAAAGAGCCCTAAAATATATAAATCAGACTTTAACAGAATTGAAAAGGTACACAGATGAGTCTATGATGATTTTAGGAGACTTTAATACACCAATTTCAATGAAAGATAGAACAACTGGAACTCAACAAAGACGCAGAAGAGCTAAACAATACAATCCACCAGCTTGACATTATAGACATCCTCAGAGCACTTTGGCAAACAATAGCACAATATACATTCTTTTCCAGTGCACATGAAGTATTGTCTATGATAGGCCATGTGTTAGGCCACAAAGCAACTCTTAATAAATTTTAAAACACTGAAATACTGCAAAGGATCTTCTCAGATCACAATGCTATCAAATTAGAAATCAACAATAGATCAATGGAAAATGAACAACACCCTCCTTAAGAAAGACTAGGTAATAAAAGAAAAATTGAAATTAAAAACTTCCTTGTATCAAACAAGAATGAGAACATACCAAAATCTTTGGGACACAACAAAAGCAATGATCAGAGGACAATTTATAGCAGTGAAATCACACATCAAGAAAAGAATCAAAATCAACTCTTTAAACCAACATCTTCAACAATTAGAAGAACAGCAAGAAAAGGCTACAGTCACCAGAAGAAAAGAAATAATAAATATTCAAGCAGAAATAAATGAAACAAAATAGAGAATAGAAAAATTCAACAAGACTAGAAGTTGGTTTTTTGAAAAGATTTTATAAATTTGACAAACCACTGACAAATTGAACAAAGGAAAAGAGGGAGGATAAAAATAACACAAATTGGAAACGAAATGGGTGACATCACAACAGAACTGACTGAAATGAAAAGTATAATATCAGGATACTATGAAGAACTGAACTGCAACAAATTTAAAAATCTACAAGAAATAGATTTCTAGAAACACCACTTACCTAAACTAACACAGACTGATGTGGAAAAGTTGGACAGATCCATAACAAAAGAAGAAATTGAACAGGTCAGAAAAAAATTATAAAATTACCAACAAAAATCTCCTAGCCCAGATGGTTTCACCAGAGAATTCTGTGAGACACTCAGATAAGAACTGACACCAGTTCTACTCAAACTAGTGCAGAACACAGAAAAAGATGGAATCCTCCCAAATTCATTTCATGAAGCAAGCATAACTTTGATACTAAAGCTAGGCAAAGACATCACTGAAAAGGAAAACTACAGAACAATATCCCTCATGAATATAGATGCAAAAATCTTTTTTAAAAAATCCTTTCCAATAGACTCCAACAACATAACAAAAAAAATAATTCATTATGACCAAGTGGGGTTAATATCAGGT